AATTTTCTCAAATTTGTCCTAGTACAATTTTGGACATCAAAATTGAATTTCCACATTGAAGTCAAAATAACGAAATTCCTCGATGGGTAATCCTAGCATTTGTTTTTTGTTGTAAATCAGATATCTATCTGCTCCTTGTTTAATGGATTCACTACAGTATAAAAGCCTGGAGCATGTGGTTTTGTACAAACAGGGTAGGTTTTCTGTTCTGAGCAAAGCTCGGTTAGGGCTGGGAGCTTATGCAAAGTCAACAGAAAATGCACTGCACCAACTGGACTCAATTTTCAGTGGTCAGCTCATGTTTGCTTTCTGTGATGCTGAACAAATCCGAATTAGACGAGATGAATACTCAAAGCGGCAGTTTAGGTGAAACTTAGAGCGATAGTAATCATTTAAACTGCAATGGACGTAAGGCAGACTGGGGAAAACATGTCAGGCCAAAACTATCTGAAAGGAAACCAAATGTGGAACAACGAAATTGAGTTTACTTAAAATGTCAGAGCAATGCAGCACCGACTTGCACGTTTCATGGATGGGGAGGTGGACATTACAAAGCAGGGTGTTGGTGCATGAACAATTTTATGGACAGTTCCCTCTTTATTGTCAAAAGTGATTTGTAATTTATAGGTGATTTTCTCATCTTTTTATGGTGTGGTGGTCATGGGAAGATGGAGGAACATGGGGTTCAGAGGTAAGGACAGGGTTCACCCCCATTCACACATCCGATTGCCTTGATATTGATGAAATTAAGGGCCTTCACCCCAGTCCAGTAAGTAGGCCCCCCTTTGTATTCCATCTTCCTTGCTTGGCAGTAGAGTATGTAATTGGGGAGGTGGTCCATTGAAACAATAATATGGCAATTAATTGATCACTTAAGGGCCTTAATTGGTGGAGGTCCCCAGTGGATATTCTTGCCCAGAGTCTATTTGACGAACTAATGAGAAAAAAGCTCATCTCTCTCCAAGACTGACTTTCCCAATAATTTCCACTCTGGGCTCTTCTACAGCTTCCTCCAGGGAAGAGAAAATTCCACTTAATGAGTTTTCTTTAAGTATGGTACAATTTTCTATCAAAAGCTCTGAAACAGCAATGATCAAAATTCTGAAAAAATCTGTGTATAAAAACTAAAATGTGAAACAAGATAGAATATTTCTGTTTTAGAAAAAGGGTATCCTAAATACCTTTAAATTTGGAGATAAGAAGTAAAAGCCAAGTTATACTTAAACTAGTTGTCCCTCATTTTCCCAGAAATTGTATATATCGGTGAACAAAATATATTATTTATGTCCCCCAGGACACAAAATAAAACATTGTCCCCATTGAACTATGGAGCCATGTTTCCTAGCACAGGCTTAAGACAGCAAGATGTAAAATGAATCCAGTTTTTTAATCAAATCAGCAGATGCAAAGCACTCAAATCAGGCTTGACTGAAACTTTCTCACCATTGTATAACATTATGCATATATGTTGATGTGAATGGCCTTTGATAATTACTAAATTATGTGCAGATTCATCAGCATCAATATCAAAGTGTGAGCTGAAATACAAAAATGAATTCATTAACTTAATAAATAGGTATATTTTATGTAATTTCAGTATTTGAATATATTTCATCACTTTTAAATAAATTACAGTTTCAATGAGTGTAGGTTATCTGGAAAGGCTTTGGCATTCAGGCTTAAGGAGCAGGAACACAGGAATCAGAATAGGCCATTTAGCCCCTCAAGCCTAGTCTACTATCAACGAGATTATCTATGACTAAACTTGCAGTAAATTTTGTTAAAATGTTCTGTCTCTGCTGTCTCTGAAATTTCTTTGCTTTCATTTTGGACCAAAGTATTCCCTGAAATGTTAGTACTCTGTAAGTTATATTGGAACATTTCTATGCCTTAAGCAGTAAGTTTGATATCGGACAACTTTATATTTGCAAATGGCCCGATAGTCAGAAGGTAAACCATAGCACTTAAACTGCCAACTTGTTCTGAGATAACTACTGCCTGCATAATTACAAAGAAAAGTTAACTTCTCAAAATAGTACATTTCATGATCTTTAAAGAGGAAAAGAGACACTAAAATTTAAATGGGTTAATGTATATTTATTCTCTCACTTTAGTTTAAAAATGGTTTGAACATTAATCCCAACCATACTTAAAACAAAAACACACTCAGAATATTTCTGATGCAAATTATTTAACAGAACTTCTGTTTGGTGAGCCTAAACTGAAGCAATGTAACAGGATAAGGGATTTTGGATGTTTAGGAGAAATTTCTCTAATCAGAATGCTATGAATCTCTGGATTTTGCTAACCCAGAGAAATGTGGTCATTGAGCATATTCAAGCCTGTGGTCAATGGATTTTTGGATAAAAAAGATGATAGAATTTAATGTTGGTGATGGGCATCACATCTGCCAGCTGGAGAAATGACAGGAGCTCCTGGGAAATTTTGCTTTTGTTGAAGAAGGCTCAACAGAATTTAGTGGTCATTAGATGCTTAACAATGCATCATTTAGCATTCCCCAGGACTGAGGACTCTGGGGTGGAAATCTTGCTGTTGAGAGCTGTCAGCCAATCTGAGGTCAGCAGTTCTCCACTACCTACCAGTATCACTGAAATCCATGGCTGCTACTGATAGTTCACCCTCCAGAGGGTGTATTAACCAGGAATCCAGGAGAAACGTGTATGATGGTGGGACAGGGTTCACAGAGGGTCACAAAAGAGGGAGGGACTAAGGAGGTTAGTAGAAAGGACTGGAGATTGGCTCTCAATGGATCCTCCCATCCTGATGCAGAGTCCCACAATCATGGTATAAGTCCCTTTGAAAACAAAACCCCTTCTCCTTGTTTTCCTGGCTCCCTATGTGGCTGAGGAATGGCAGATGGAGTTTAATTTAGATGAATGAGAGGTGCTGCATTTTAGAAAGGCAAATCAGGGCAGGACTTATACACTTAATGGTAAGGTCCTGGGGAGTGTTGCTGAACAGAAACTTTGGAGTGCAGATTCAAAGTTCCTTGAAAGTGGCATTGCAGGTAGACAGGATAGTGAAGAAGACGTTTGGTATGCTTGCCTTTATTGGTCAGTGTATTGAGTATAGGAGTTGGGAGGTCATGTTGCAGCTGTACAGGACATTGGTTACGCCACTTTTGGAATACTGTGTGCAATTCTGGTCTCCATGCTATAGGAAGGATGTTGTGAAACGTGAAAGGGTTCAGAAAAGATTTACAAGGATGATGCCAGAGTTGGAGGGTTTGAGCTATCGGGAGAGGCTGAATAGGCTGCTAGAGTATCAGAGGCTGACAGGTGACCTCATAGAGGTTTGTAAAATCATGAGGGGCATGGATAGAGTGAATAGCAAAGGTCTTTTCAGCAGGGTAGAGGAGTCCAAAACTAGAGGGCATAGGTTTAAGGGGAGAGGGGAATATTTAAAAGGGACCTAAGGGGCAACTTTTTCACGCAGAGGATGGTGCATGTATAGAATGAGCTGCCAGAGGATGTGGTGGAGGTTGATACAATTACAACATTTAAAAGGCATATGAATGGGCATACGAATAGGAAGAGTTTAGAGGGTTATGGGCCAAATGCGGCAAGTGGGACTAGATTAATTTAGGATATCTGGTTGGCATAGACAAATTGGACCAATGGGTCTGTTTCCATGCTGTGCAGCTCTATGACTCTGTGACTCTCCCCCATTCACTGCTAGATGAGGACCAGCAGCATCAGTTCGAGATCAATAAGTGTTCATTCATTGCCCACAAGGTCCTCAGTTCAGATCTGGACAGGAAGACTGTCTGGGATCTTCCCATTCTGGGCTTAATACAGCAGATGTGGTAAGATGGCAGGGTCCCCATCCTGCACTTTCTTGCCCAATTTAAGAATACCCTGTCCCAAAACCCCTCTACTGAGCTGCCCAAGTGAAATCAAGAAAAATGGGGAAGGTGAAATTATGATAGAAATGTACCCATGATCTTAGTGAATGAAGGAGCAAGCTCAAAAGGATGCCATGGACCTACTCCTGCTTCAATTTCTTACATTCATATGTAATTGGCAGGTGCCTCTCCTTAAACATGCCAAAAGATTTCCAACGTTTGCCCATAAACCATCATTGTTGAATAAATGAAACTGTTGCCATTGACAACATTCCGTATCATAGTTACCTTTCTAATTTAATGAATCTATTCATTTTAGTTTATTATTTGATAATTGGAATATGGCTAACACTTGCTAATAAACTACACTAGTGGAGAGGATAATTTGTTGCCATAATCCCTAAATATTTTTCATTGAATTACCAATCTGCATTCAGACAACTGACAATATGAGGAAATTGAGACAGATTTTCCAGAACTGCAAGACTGTACTGATCAGGAGAGACTGAGCAGGTTTTTCTGTAGAAAATGAAAATAAATGATAACCTTACTGAGGTTGTTAATATTAAGAGAACATTTGGTGGGGTAGATGTAGAAAAGATGTTTCAAGATGCAGGCAAGACCAGAATCAGGAAGATTACTGGCTAGACATTATTAAATCCAAAAGTGAATTCTGGGGAAACTGCATTTGCCAGTAAGCCGTTACTGTGGAATTTGCTATCACAGAGAATGGATTAGGTGAAAAGCACAGATGTGTTTTAGAGGAGTGTATTTAAGTATTCTGAAGAGGGTCTTAACTCTGACTTAACTCTGATTTCTCTCCATGGATGCTGAGTTTCTCCAGCAATTTCTGTTCTGGTTTGTTTCAGATCTCCAGCATCTGCAGTTCTTTGTTTTATTTTGTGTTTAAAAGGAAGCTGAATAAGCAGCAGAGGGAGAAAGCATGAAGTGACATGGTTAAATGAAGAAAGACGAGAGGAGATTCATCAAGAGCGCACAATCTTACAGTGATAACAAACTGTTTCTGTGCTGTAGATCCATCGTAATTGTTCTCAAAGAGAAAGTTTTTAAGAATTCCCTTTATCAAACATTTGTCAAAGTGAAGTTGCCTTGTATTTTTTAAACTAATACTCACCACGGAAATCAAGTCATCTTCAGGAATAGGAAGCTTTTCAATTTCTAACTGCTGGTCATTGTTCACTACAAAATGAATGCTTCGCTCATTGGATACTCTAGGTAAGACGGACTTGACAATCATGGCAGGATGAGGTCTGCTTTGGTCTGTATACTTGTTGAATGATGGCATTTTTATTGTGCTTCTTGGCATTTCTGTGCTACTCAAGTCTGCGCCTTTATCGATGCTCTGTACATTCTGATAAATCATCACTGGTTTACCATTGCTAGCTGACTTCCTCTGACTTCTGGTCTTGAAGTGTTCCGGATCTCCTGAAAAGCACCCTGAAAATTGAGCAATTTGAGGGAGAACAATTAGATTTTCTGCAAATTAATTCTACTATTAATCAATATTTTTGCCATTAGCGGGCATAAACAATTTTATCCTTTGATGCGATTGTTAAATTCATTGCTACTTAAATACTAGGGTTCGATTTGTAGGTAGGATTAGCCACATGGGATTGGCTTATCTGGCAGCTTATCCAAGAATTCAAAATACAGTCACTATTCTAGCCCACAAACATTCAAACAATGGAATATTTTGCTGTCTATGTCAAACATCAATATTGGTTCATACAGCAATTATCCTATTATGAATATTTTGTAAATATTTATTTTACTGTTTTCAAAAAGCAGAAGAAAATATGCACCAAATTTTCCTTGTGAATATACGAAGTATGACTCTTAGGTTAGACTATGTCCAGGCCTGCTGTTCTTTTCTTTCAGCAATACATTAAGCTTGGCAGAGGACATGCACCAGTTCCTTAACTTATGGGTTGAAAAAGGACAGGAATGCCTAAATATTTTCCTTTCTTTCATGGAATACATTCCTGGTGGGCAGGAGAAGATACTATTGAAACAAATGAGATTATGTTATGTTCATGAGATAGGGATAGCTAACAGATGCTAATGTAAACTTATTTCTTGGCTTTACATTGGATCTACGCTGTTTCCAAATTGCACTGTTCTGTGTTGTTAGGTATTCAGCTGTTACAAAAGTATACTTAAAGAACAGGAAAGAAAATTTACTCAACAGTTGTGAGGTAACTTCTAGATTTTTATTGTAGAATGCAATCCCCTTAATTACTTCATGCAACCTCATGTCCATTTTGGAAGGTACAAAACAAGGTTTGTTTATGACCTTATTCCTATGCCTTAAGCTTCCATTCCCTTATTCATTAACCCATCATTTCATCATCTGTCCCTCTAGTTGGGACATAAGTTGTACTTAGTTGAAATGCCTTTTACAACACTGTCGACTGGTATAATTTTTCTCAGCCTATTGTAGGGGTCTGAAACTTATGGTTCTGGAGCTGTATGGCTCCTGACCTTAATCAATCAAATCTATTTGGTAATTAAATGGTTTGCTTCATTTTTAAACTTTGTACCTGTTAACATTGTGCTCATGAGAAAATATTATTCAGTTAACAACTGTATTTCATGAAAAACTTTAAAATATTGCTGAAATCTATCTTGGCCCTGTTTTCCATTTTTATTGGTATTTGAGTTACAGCATTGAGACTCTTAAGATAATTGTGTTTTTGACTAAATTTTAAAAATGTTTTATTCTTGTTGTTAAGGTCACAGGCTCCTATCCTATTGTAATACTTCCATTTAATTGTTTTGTTAAATTTCATTTATACCTGGCTTTCAACACTCAGTGACAGTCATTTTTTATTTGACCATCTTCCCTGAATAGATTTCTGAATTTAAAAAATAAATACAGCTTATAAATAAATAAACAGGCTTGGAAAAAGCAAAAAGGTTATTGGCAATTAACTGTTTCCATAGCAATTCTGAAAATTAGCTGCCCTTTTTGCTCCTTAACCTTGCTCAGGTATTAGTTGAAAAATATAATGATGGGTAATTCATATGACATTTTTCTATATCTCTGCAAATTTACAATTGGATCTGTGAATCATTACACAGATGGATTGACCTGTGAAATATGAGCACAGGCAACAAATTATCACTGTTGCAAGATTGGCACCAGTTCATATCTATTTTAACACTGACTTACACCAATATGTTGGCTGAAAGCAAGACTTAGTTACAGGGCAATAGGAACATGTAGAGGCCACTCAGCCCTTCATGCGTGTTCTGCCATTCAATGAAATTGTAGCTAATCTATACCTTGACTGCATCCATCCAAGCTCTATACTCTTTTATGGCGAGGAACATTAATTGCTCTCTGATTTACACATATTGTTGAGAAAGCATCTATGGTTTTTGTGGGAATGAGCTCCACAGGTCTACCAATTTTACCAAAGAGGGAGACTGAGAGAAACAGAGAGGGTGCAGCACGAGGATTAAAGTGAGATCCCAAACGGGAGAAGTGTGAAACAGTCTGTGGGTTCACAGCTGACCAATGACATTCGAAGGAAAATCAAAGTGTAGCAGCACAAGGAAGTAGCTGAGTATTTTCCTCTTTTCTCTCTCCAACTAGGATATAGGTATATTCAAATTGGAAGTTATAAAATGAAATAAGAATTCAATTAACGTTAGCATAAACATAATTTAATTGATAAGTTTATAAACACAGCAGTTCTAAAGATATTCATTAAAATTAATTACGTAAAAAGGGTACCAATAGAAATGGAGGTTTTTTTTACTTTTCATCATGGCTGGGTGTCTATAACTTGTTGTTTGCAATTCCTGTGTAGGTGGGAACTTCAGGACATGTTATCTGTCTTAGAAAATCATCTTTGTAGGAAGTGTCTCTAACTTGAGCTCAGGATTTCTCAGTCACTGCTGAGTGTCCAGAAGGATGAGATTTTCTTTGAGCAATACAATCCGGGAAATGGTCACCTGACAAGCAGTGAGGTCAGTGTAGTAGGTATTGGCTATCCAAAAGAGTAGGAAGAGGCCAGTAGTTCAGAGGTCTTTGGATTGAGTGCCATTTCCAAACAGGTAGTCAGCATTAGAGACTGTTGGAAGTGACAATGCTCTGAAGGAGTGCAGCCCAGACCAAAAGGTAAGAGACTGTAGAGTAGGGAACAACAATGCATAGACATACAGTTGTTGTAGGAGACACTATAGTCAGACTATGTCTATGAGAAACAGAGAGACATTTCTGTAATTGTCTTCATTAGTCACACATAGTGTATTGCATCTCTGATGCTCATGTAAAAGAGATGGTGGAAAACATTCTGTAAAGGTATGGAAAAGAGTTAGATATTGTGGTGCGTGTTGATACCAATGACAAAGGACAGGTATTGAGGTCAGAGTCATAGAATTAGCCCTGTGTCCGCACCAACCTATCTACCCACTTCCCAGCACTTGGCCCATAGCCTTGAATGTTATATTTCAAGTGCTCACACACGTACCTGTTAAAGGTTGTGAGGTTATCCTCTACTATACTTACAGCATGCATTCCAGGTTCCCACCACCCTTTAGGTGAAAAAGTTTCCCCCAAATCCCCTCTAAACCCCTTGTCCTTCACCTTAAAATCATGCATAAAGAGCTATATTAAACATAAATATCAATTTGTACTGTGATTATCCCATTGTGAACATTTCTGTGATGACACAGAGACAGACAGCCAAACCAAATCAGCCTTTCTACATCTGTATTCACAACATGGTAAAGTTAAACTCCAGACCCCCAATAATTAATCTAATAGCTCCTAAACAGACTTTCAAATAACCAGTCCCATATGTTATGAATGATTAATTCCTTAACTATTTATTAAATAAACAATAACTTTAACAGAGGAAAAATTAAACAATAAGGTGAGCTGATTAATGTCTATACTTTAAGTCCAAGACATTTGATTTCAGCCCCCATTCACACATAAGATAGATAGACAAACAAACATACACAGTTATAAGGGATAAATAAAAAAAAATAACAAAATTGGCCAGATTACTTAAATGGCTTTTGTGATATGCTGTTTCACAATGTGGACTCCTTGGCTATTTTTTCCTGAAATAGTGATCAGTGTCAATTTCTCAGTTCATCCAGGCAAAGGTAGCAATGCTTCTAACTCAGATTTCTGCTCTTTTGGGCTTCTGAAAGCAGGTGTGTGAGATTAGACAGAGAATTTTCAAACTTTCATGCTGTGTTGTCAGCAGCCAAACTTGTCTCTCAGAAAACATAATTAAAAGAAAACATCAATTCTGGTTCCATCCTGATTAACGATTTGTCTCCCCCTGAGGCCTCAGTTACCACTCAACAATTGCCATCTGCTTGAACAGAAGGTCTCTTCCAGACTTCCCGGAACCAATTCCCAGACACTGACCTTGCTAATAACCAACTTCTGCTATCTGTTTAAATACACTGCTTTTCCTGGGGTCCCTGTGTCTGTTGGAGCTCATTTAAACAAGAATCCACTGACAATTAGCTTCCAGGCCTGGCCCCACAAACAAACAAAACTTGTTCTTTCATTTCTTTTCCTTTACCACAAGCTGTCCCAAAGGCCACAAGTCATTTCCAAGTCACAGTTCCTTCTTCATGACTCCAAACTAAAAATGATTAAAGAATAAAAATAAAAAATATGAAAAGTCAGTGTGGGTTCTAACATTTTTAAATAATTATGTTACTGATTTCTAGAAGTAGAGGCAAATATGCACTAAATTTTCCTGGTGCATATATTGGGTATGACTTATCTTAGTCTGCATCCAGACCTTCTGTTTTTTCTTTCAGCAATTGTTTAGGCTTGGCAGAGGGCACATACTGATCATGGAGACACATGGTATAAAAAAGTGATTGGAATACTTAAATCATTCCTTTTGTTTGTGGAATGCAATCCTAGTGGGCAGGAGAAGCTACTATCTGAAATGAGTGAGATTGTATTATATATATGAGGTAGGAATAGTTAACTGATGCTGTAGCAAACTTACTTCTTGGCTTCACGTTGGATATTACTGGGGTTTGGGACCAGTTCTGGGACTGAAGACACTATTCAGAAGGGATACATTGGGCCTCAAAGTCCTTATGGGGAGGTTCACTAGTGTGGCTGGGGAGGGTTTAAATTGGTAAAGGGCTGGAGACCAGTATGTGGAAGTAGGAAAGAAGAATAAGGCGCATATATTTTGGACTTTTGGATGGTACTAGGGAAGGAAGTATCATATTAAATAGGACCAAATTAAGAAGGACTAAAGTGCAAAAATAGGATTACAATGGATATGTACAAATGCCAATGTGTACTGAATAAGGCAGTTTAGCTGTAAGCACAAATATCAATGCAGAATTATAATATAGTGGCAATAACAGAAACATAGCTCCAAAATAGTGAAGACTGGGCACTTGTTATACCAGGATATAAAGTGTTTGGAAAAGATAGATAAGGAAAAGCAGGAGTTGGGTTTGTAAAACAGATTAGGAACCACTATCTACAGTGTTAGAAAGAGGGGATGTCCTTGAGGGGAAAAGGACAGAATCTATTTGGTTAGAGCTGAGAAGAAAAAAAGCTAAGATCATGGAATGTAGTGATATGAGTGAGTTGCGGGGACAGAGAGAGAATGTGACATGAATTGGGGCGAGGAAGTTAGGTGCAGCCGGCAGCAATTTCACCTACAATGTTGCTATGGAGACAAGAAGGTATTTGGCATGCACCCAAGAATCAAATAGAGACCTAAACAAAGTCACTCCTGATGTTGGTTAACACTGTAGACCACTAAAAGGCTGGAAATAATCCAGAAACTTTTGAAACGCTTTGGCAAAAGAATCAACCATCCAAATTTCTAGCCTCAATAATGAAATAACTATTTTACATAATGTACAGATTTTAGGTGTGCTAGGTGGGACAAAGAGGGTAAAAATTGTTGGCTAATCGTTTACTCTTGCCCACTATGTTTTTTGTGCTTTTTAAATTTATTTTTAATTTAATAATTTCCTTGAACAAAGGCAATTAAGGTAATGTAAATGATATGTGTCATGCTTTGACATGGTTGAAAAAGAATCAAGTTTTTGACATAACAGTGAGCAGCTATTTCCTTATCAACCATAGAACCTTCATTAACAGCAACAAACACAGAAATTGCTGGAAAAGATCAGCAGGTCTGGCAGCATCTGTGCAGAGAAATCAGAGTTAATGTTTCGGGTCCAGTGACCCTTTCACAGATCCCTCAGGGTCACCGGACCTGAAACGTTAACTATGATTTCTCTCCACAGACACTGCCAGACCTGCTGATCTTTTCCAGCAATTTCTGTTTTTATTGCTGTTAATGAAGTTTCTATGGTTGACAAGGAAATAGCTGCTCGCTGTTTTCTTTCTGATTTACAGCATCTGCTGTTCATTTGGGTTTTATGTAGAAAATTCATTACTCATTTTGATACTTAAAATTATCTAGGCTTTTTTTTAAAAGCTGGAAATCCTGTTCTTGTGAATCTGTATTGTTTTTCTGTTGATTCAAAGATTATTTAATAGGTCTTAAGCACTGTTGTAACTATTCTACAAGAATGTATAATCGGAATCACCTAATTTATAGATAACAATTCATCATGCCTTATACATCGGGTGACTATTTCTTAAGGTCCAAAATTTGTGAAGGACAAATTTTACAACACAGAGATATCATGAAGTCTTATTGAAAACGAAATATTTCAAATGAATAAAAATAGAAAATTCTAGAAACACTCAAAAATTCAGGTAGTATCTGTGAGGAGACAAACAGAGTTTATATTTCAGGTCAATAATCCTTTAAAAAACAAAAGGTCATCAATCTAAAACACTGGATCTGATTTTAATTTTGCATTAGGTGGTTAGGTTTTGAATAGGTTGTAACCACACCTTATAACTCTGTCTCCTTTGGCTGGTGAATGAGGCAGTTCCAATATTTTCTGAATTTATTACAGTTCCCCCATAATCACAATATTTTGCTTTTGTTTTAATATCAAATAAACACTTCTGCATATCCTTTTACTTTTAAAGTAGTAGTTATTTAAATTATTTATTCTTTAATGAGCCAATCCAACAATGTATTTCAAATAGTTATTCGTGGATCATAACAAGCAAAATTCGATGTCTTAAAGCAAAGACATGTCAGGAATGAAATCTTACGGATGCAAATGGACTCTTAATTCTGAACTATTTTAGATTTTTATCCCTTTAAAATTCCATCTTGGAGCTAAAGAAACATCCTGATATTCTGAATGAGTATTTTATTAAATTCTATTTTGAGCTACCAGCTCTGGGTGAGTTTTCATGATGACAGCTATTTACATTGGAAGAGCAGTGAGAAGCAGTTCATATAATCTTGAAAAATATATTAAAAACCTCCTAAATTAATTTTTGAAATCCCAAGAATGTGGCTTAAATTTTATTTATTTCATTGCACAGAAATGACATAAACAAAATCTTCAGAGAAATGCAATGAATAATTTATTCCATGACAGGGTTTTAGTAATCCATTCACTCACTTTTCCAAACCTATTATACATTCCTCAGACAAAGAATGACTTTGATGTTCTTTTGCTCCCTTTGGAGCACCCACCACTTTACTCTGAATTTCTACAGTATGCAAAGCTTAATGAGTGAAGGACCAAACTGGCTCAGTCTGGAGCACTCTCACCTTTGATTCAGAAGCTTGCAAGCTTAAGATCACATCATTACTACTGACACATTTATATGCTCCCAGTTCTTTGTAGAAATGAGGGGCTTCTAATAGTCAGAGCAAAGCTATTTGAGTGAAATATTGAAAGCATAGTCCTGGGCCATATTCTTTGGGCTCAAGTGGACTGCTGCTTCAACAGCACCTTCTGGATCCATGACTTCAAGGGTGGAGATCAATGGAAACACCATTACCACATTCCAAGAACATGAACTATTTTGTCTTGAAGCGAGGTCACCATTCCTTCATACCATTGGGTCAAAATCCTGAAACACCCTTTCCAACAGCACTGTGGGTGTACTGAATATGGTTCACCACTATCTACACAAGGGCAATTAGGGACAGACAGTAAATGTTGGCCCCATCAGCAATTTTCACATCCCTTGAACAATTAAGTAAATAAACCATGATAGATACCATGGTTTCTCTTCAGGAAGAAAAGGAATCTTCTCCAGCATTGTTAGATACAGACACAATGGGCAGAGTGGCTTCTTTCTGTGCTGTAAATTGTTCCACAGCTTCTAAATATCTGAAGAGGAGGAATATGCATAGATGTGGGGAGAGGACAGGTACTGGCAGGACATGAATTGCTTCTTCGCAGGGCCAGCATGGGCATATTGGATCAAATAGCTTTCTATGTTGCAATAAATCCATGATTCTATCACTTCAACAGTTCCTCAGGGTAGTGTTCTATGTCCAACCATCTTCTGCTGCTTCATCGACGACCTTCTGTCCATCATAAGGTCAGAAGTGGGGGATGTTCACTGATGATTGCACAATGTTCAACACCATTGGCAATTCTGCAGATACTGAAGCAGTCCATGTTGAAAGGCAGCAAAACTGACAAATGGCAAGTGCCATTCATGCCACACAACAGACAGGCAATGGCCATCTGTGACTATAGAAAACTCAAACATCTCCCCTTGACATTCAATGGTATGGAATGTCAGGGGCTGGATATTTTGCAGATGACTCACCTTCGGAGTCTTCAATACCTGTCCAAGTGGTGGAATGCTGCCTGCTTGTAGATTAGAGCAGCTCCAACAATGCTCAAGAAGCTCAGCACCATTCAGAACAAAAGCCGCCCTTGATTAGTACCCCATCTAACACCTTTAACATTCAGTTGCTCCAACACCAATGCATATTGGCAGCAGGGTACATCATCATATACAACATGCACTGCAGCATCTCACCAGGCCCTTTTTGACAGCACTTCCCAAACCCACAACCTTTACCACCCAGAAGGACAAGGGCAGCAGATATATAGGAACACCACCTGTTGAATGTTCTCCACCAAGCCACATACCACCCTGACTTGGGATTTATCGTGCCATTCCCACAGAGTTGCTGGGTCAAAATCTCGTTTTCCTACGCCACATTTCGTTAAAGAAATAAAAACCTCTAGGATCTAACCCCTGCAGTGCATTTTGATTTTCCAGGAGATCAAAGTAGATCAAAGCCCGAATTGTTTCGGTCCCAACCAATAGGTCGCCTTCGGTCTGTGCAGAGTGCTGCTGTACTGATAACGCTATGGGTGTTGCACTGAGAGCTAGCTGGGTGCCCAGTGGTTGGAATGTTTATTTGGCCCCAGCGCTCGCCGGGCTGCGCTGACCCTGGTGCTGCAACGGGGGCCTGACAGCTCACCGCACCCCCTTGCGTCTCCCCAACCCCTGAGGAAGTTCGGATTGACAGAGACGGACTGCACGGTGGTAAAGGAGGCCTCTCCGCTCCCCTGTTTAGCGGGCGGTGCGCCCTAGTCACACTGCTCCCAGCATTTCCATTCTAATCTGTAGCCGCATCTGAGAAATCTCAGAAATATCACCTGGAGAGAACGGCAGCTGCATTTCAACAAGTTTCAAGGGTGGATTTGAGATATGTTTTTTGTTTGGGGGTGGTGGGGGCTGTGACTCAGGAAGGGAGTCTCCCGCATCATTGTCCCTATCAAAGTAGTGAATACACTGTGTTAAAACGCACCGCTGCTCAGGGGCTGGGGGTTTGGGGGTGAAGATTGAAAAGTCAGATGTAGAGGGACCTACCTGCAATCTGGAGCTGAAGCAGGGCGCACAGGAGCCGGATACCGAGCCAGCCCTGCATGGTGTCCGCTCACTGTCACCACTCACAGCCAGATATCATCACAACAGAGATCCCACCCCACCCTAGCCCAGCCCAGCCCGCTCCAGGAAGGGGTGGCAGGAGCGGACAGACTAGTTTTGCAACCGGCGGTGACTCTGCGTTGGTCGCATCACCGTCGCAGCCGACGGCCCTGGGATGGACACAGGCAGACGCAGCCCTAATGCATAATAGATCTGAGGCTCCGTCTGCTCTCCCCTCCAACGACAGGTCTGCATTTCAAGCAGCGCACAGATAGAGGGAGGGAGGCAGGACAGGGGAGGGGGAGACTCGGCGAATGGCTGAAGGTTTGAAGGATGGATAAAGCACCTCCTAGCAACAAAACATCGCGTGTGTTCAAAATTGAACTTTAGCTCTGGCGGACTGTTTGGAAGTGAGGCGTTTCTCTGAAGGTCGGCGGAAAATGTTGACACTGAAATTGCAAGACCGCTTTGCAGATCCAGGTGGTTGTCAGTTTCGTGAAAGCTGTAAGGCGATTGAAATCACTCCTCTTTGGGGGTGGTATCAGCAGCGGTGGTCACCAAAAATCTCCAAGTGACATTTTTTTTTCAATTGAGTCCTTCATGTTTTCCTAATCAACCTGTTCAGAGATGTCATTACACACTTCTGGAACAGGTGGGACTTGAACCCAGGCCTCCTGGTCCAGGGATAGGGATGCTATCTGTTTTGTTCAGATATTTGCTCGTCAACTCATTCACAGATGTTATTACACACCTCTGGAAAGGTAGCACTTGAAACTAGACCTTCTGGCTCAGCCTTAGGAACACTCCACTGAGCCACAGGAACATTTATATTCACTGCATTCGTTTTGTTTATTATAGCTAGAAGTGCTCTTACACACAACTGAACCTTTTTTCCCCATCACCAAATTACCACAGTACATTACCCCTATATCACCGATAACTACCACCAGTAAATTACTCATGTTTCCAATTTAATAATTTGCATGCAAAGCCCGATGATGGGCCCTATTGTGGTGCAGTGGTAGTGTCCTTACCTCTGAACCAGAGAGGCCCTGGTTCAATACATACCTGCTCCAGAGGCGTGCTATAACATGTCTGAACAAGCAGTGCCTATTAATGGGCCCTCTTGTGATGCAGTAGCAGTGTTCCTGCCCATGGAACAGAGAGACTGGTTCAAACCCCACTTTGTCCAGAGGTGTGGAATAACATCTCTGAACAAGTTGATTAGGGGAAAAAATAGGGCAAAGTCCATTAAGGGCGATGCACACCATCAAAGGTGAGAGAGAGTGGGAATCCATTTCATTCATATGATTAGAACAGATTACAGTCACTTGTGCAGTGGATTAAGTCAAATGTATTTACCATTTAAGATGGAAGACTGAGGCTCATGTCAAAAAAAAGCAAATGACAGAGAACCCCCTTGATTTCCATGGTGTTCAGTGTTGGCACAGAGCGATAGTATGCTGTTAAAGGCTGGTAACCCAGCAGAAAAAACAGCATGAGAGACAGGAGCTGGAGTCAGTCATTCAGACCTCAAGCCTGGTCCACCATCCCGGATGATTTTCTACCTTAGATACCCTTCCAAAATCCCAAAAGTCCACAATCATTTAAATCAAAAACCTTCTCCTAATCTCAGCTATAAATGTCTAACCCCTCGCCTTGAGAACTTAAACTATAATTCTAAACTTCCCAGCCAGGCATAGCATCCTTTCAGGATTTAACTCAACAATCCATTAATTACGCTATCAAGCCCCTCTCGGGAAATGAGGAAGACTCTTCCAAATGAATAAGCTTGATTAAATGTTCCTGTTTAAAGCTTAAAAACAAGAAGAACTCATAGCTTAATGGCACAAACCTTAGTTCCCACAAATTCAATGTTATGAACACAAAGTTTTAGTAGACCCATTAAATGCAATATTGGTAAACATAAGTGTCTCTCTATCTCTTTCCCTGTCTCTGTCCCACTCTCTCTCTCTCAGATTATACATAGCAGATAGTGACACAGTGGTAGGAAATGGTGCTAATTTCACTGCACTAGTAATCTAAATGATCACACGAATGCTTTGGGGACCTGTTTTCAAATTCCACCATTTGCTGGAATTAGAATTCAATGAATAAATCTGGAAGTAAAGCTGGTCTGAAGATGCAGTGGCAGTATCCTGAACTCTGAGCCTGGAGGTCTGAGATCAAGTCCCACCTGCTCCAGAGGTGTGTCATAACATGTTTGAACAGATTGATCAGAAATTATATAAAGCTGGTCTGTGATAACCATCCCATCTGTTTCACTAATGTCTCTTTAAGGAAGCAAATCTGGTATCCTGAATGGACTAGATGTGGAAAGTGTAGAGCTGTAGTCATAGAGGTCTACAGCACAGAAAAAGGCTCTTTGGCCCATTGAGTCTGTGTCAGTCAAAAACAACCTATTGTGGACTTTTGGGATGTTGGAAGAGTAGGTAAAGTAGAAGATCAGCCGTGATTGACCCTTTAGGACAGAGATGATGAGAATGTTTTGCTCTCAGAGGGTTGTATAAATTTGGAACACTCTGCCTCAGAAGGAATAGATAAATTCTTGTTAGACAAGGGAATCAGGATGGATGGGTAAGTGGAAATCAAAAGACAAACCAATCAGCTAGGATCTTATTGAATGGTGAAATAGGTTCAAAAAGGTTGAATTGTCCACTTCTGTTCCTATATTCATATATTCATATACTATTCCCTTCCCGTACATGTAACTTCAGGCCCACTACAAAGTGATTGACACTTAACTGCCCTTGGTCAGAGCAGTAGGCGTTGACTTGGACTTTACTAAAGTCTCTGATAATGTTCCGCATATTGGACTAATTAGTAAAGTTAGATCACATGGAATTCAGGGTGAGATTGCCAATTGGATACAAAATTGGCTTGATGGTAGAAGACAGAGAGTGATGGTGCAGGGTCGTTTTTCAGACTGGAGACCTGTGACCAGCAGTGTTCCATGGAGATCGGCACTGGGTCCACTTTTGTTAGTCATTTATATAAATGATTTGATTTAATAGTGGAACCATGCTTAGTAAGTTTGTGGATGACACCAAAATTGCTGGTATAGTTGACAGTGACGAAGGTTATCTAAGATTACAAAAAGATCTTGATCAATTGGAGGCTGAGGAGTGGCAGACGGAATTTAATTTGGACAAATGCGAGGTATTACATTTTCGTAAAACAAACAAGGGCAGGACTTATACAATTAATGCTAGGGCCATAGGTAGTGTTGTAGATCAGAGAGCCCTAGGGATTCAGATACATAATTCTTTTTGAACTTTGCATCACAGGTAGACAGGGTGGTTAAGATGGTGTTTAGCATGCTTGCTTCATTGTTCAGACCTTTGAGCACAGGAGCTGGGATGTCATATTGAGATTGTACAGGATGCTGGTGAAGCCTATTCTGGAATACTGTGTATAATTCTGGTCATCTTATTATAGGAAGGATATTTTTAAACTGGAGGGAGTTCAGAAAAGATTTACCAGGACATTGCCAGGAACAGAGGGTTTAACTTATAAAAATAGACTGAATAGGCTGGGATTTTTTTATCACTGGAGCATAGGAGGTTAAAGGGTGACCTTGTAGAGGTTTATAAAATCATTGGGGGAATAGATAATGTGAATAACAAAGGTCTTTTTCCCTAAGGTGGGGAAATTCAAAACTAGGGGGCATATTTTTAAGGTGAGAGGAGAAAGATTTAAAAAGGACATAAGGGACAATTGTTTTGCACAGAGAGTGGCTCGTGTGTGGAATGAACTGCCAGAGGAAGTGGTGGATGCAAGTACGATTACAACATTTAAAAGACATTTGGATTAAATGAATGAATAGGAAAGGTTTAGAGGGATATGGGCCAAACGTAGGCAGGTGGGACTAGTTTAGTTTGGGAAAATGGTCACGTGGACTGGTTAGGTCGAAGGGTCTGTTTCCATGCTGTATAACTGTATGACTCTACCACAGTTAGGCACAAAGATCAATTGCAGACTTTGCCAATGATATCACAGCCCCATGAAAGAACAAGGGAAAAAAATCTGTTGAATCAATTGGCAAAAATGGCCTGTTTCTTTGATTTAAATATTGTTCTGTGTGCTGCATGATTGATATTTCCATTATATCAAAAAACATAATGAGGTCTGTGTAGTGAAAGCAATATTTCAGTTAACATTCACAGTGACAGGCTTTTTGCAATGTCCACAAAATTCAACCAACTGGAGTTAAGAAAAAACCTGAAGTGAGCTCTCTTTTCCTATCACTGATCAAGGTTTCTTGTTCCATTTCACCTCTGTCAATAGCCAAATTGTTTCACCTGCATAATTAATGGGGTTGCTCCTTAGCCAAAGCATTACGTTCGTCTTATTGTGGGAATGGTCATAAAAGAATTGATCCCATGGCTGCTCTGTGTTCGATTCGAATAATGATAGGTACAATCCTGCAACACTGAGTCCAGTCTTAATTGTGTCACGTTGCTGAGTAACTGAAGTAAAATGTAATGGAAGACAATATGGAAAACAAAAAGGTTCAACTGAGAAATAGTTACATTACATTACAACTTAGTTATAAAGCATTCACTAGCACTGCAGTTCTATATTGTAGCCACCAAGTGTGACAGCAGTCAATTTTTAGCACAGCACAAATCAGATAATGTTTCACCCTAAGCAATAAATAATTTAAAATGAATGTACATTGGCTGCAGTTGTTTTTTTTGAAGAAAACCTTTGAGGTTGGCTTTCTAGCAATAAATGGGATTTTATTTCTGATCAAACAGCAGTTAACGTTTTAGATACTTCAAAGCTCTTGGACAACAAACGTAAAAAAAGACAATTGTGTTAATGTGTGCATATTGCAAAATAGTAATTATTGCTAGTGGGTTATTTTAATGAATCCCTTGACATCACTTGATGAAGGATTTTAAGGATTTTGTGAGAAGTCACAGAAATGAAGGTTGAGACATTTATATTGGCTCCCTAAACCCTCAAGTGAGATTAGAGCCTTGAAACAACTCCTAAGTAACTATTGTTTTTAACTATACATTTT